TCAGTTCAAGAAATATTGAGGAAGTATTTAGACTTTCTATAATGAGTAGGTTTTACAGGAAGCAAAGTAGCCTGTAACATGGGTCTGAAGGGTCACACAACCTTCAGAGCGTTGTCAAATTAGCGTGCTGCCTCAAACTAGTATCTTCCTCTGTTCCACTGATACTAGAAATATTCTCCTGATTTTAGCACTTAAAGTTCTCTGTCCCTTCTGCTCATTCCCAAAGACTGAATTTGCATACAATGGGCTTTTTTTTTTCTTTCTTTTTTTGAGACAAGGTCTTCTCTGATACCCAGGCCAGGGCGCAGTGGCGTAATTATGGCTCACTGCAGCTTTGACCTCCTGGGCAGAAGTGATCTTCCCACTCCGGCCTCCCAAAGTGCTAGGATTACAGGTGTGAGCCACTGTGTCCAACCAGTTGCTTGTTTAGGAGAACAAACAGGTTGGCCTTGGTCCAGGTAAATTATATTGTTTCTAGTCCAGTCTTCATAGGTAATATCTGATGGGTCTCTGTCATTTGAAATAGGAGATGCTGGCCTTATCATATAGCTGACTCCTCCCCAGGGTACCTGCTAAATTCCTATTGGCTATGCCTTTGTTGGTCCTGTATCATCATTATCTGTAAGCGGAATATAGACATCTTTCTCAGTGTAAAAAAAAATCAGAAAAACCAGTACTGTGATTCCCCATTATCCATGGTTTTGCTTTCTGTGATTTCATTTACTGTGGTCAACCACGGTCTAAAAATACTATGGTATTTTGAGAAAAAGAGACCACATTCACATAACTTTTCTTACAGTATATTATTATAATTGTTCTATTTTATTATTATTGTTAATCTTTTACTGTGCCTAATTTATAAATTAAACTTTACCATAGATATGTGTGTATAGGAAAAAAAAATAGTGTATATAGAGGGTTTGGTGCTATCTGCAGTTTCATATATTCACTGGGGATCTTGGAATGTATCCCCAGCAGATAAAGGGGAACTACTCTATTTATAACCTTCTAACTATTTTTACTTTTACCTTTTCATAATCTTGGTTCTTAATCACCAGCTGAACTGTGTATATTACAATCAGATCTTTCTATCTGCATGCCCTTTATCATGGGCTATTCTTGGTTCTATCTGACCATCTATGTTTTGTTGAATACTCCACACTGGAAAACTATTTATAATAATAGCAAACATCTGAGCATTTGCTTTGTGCACTGTTCTAAGAACTTTTACAAATATCATTTATCTCATTTCATATGCATAATAATTTCAGGTACCATTATTACCCCTGTTTTATATATAAGAAAATAGAGGCATAGGAGGATAGTTTATTTAATCTGTGAAAATTTTCGATGATACTTCTGTGAGAAACAAAGATGAAATTATGTTAAAGAGCTTCGTAGTAAGTAAAACGAAGTACAAACATTGTACTGTTATCTGCTTCATAACAAGGCTCAATGAATGTTTGTTGAATGAATGAATGGATAAATATCATTACTGGGTTGCACTGTGTCTTGTGAGGGTAGAGTCCTCAGAATAATGTAAAGTGTAAATACGCCAAGTACTGTGTCTGTAACTCAGTCGTTACCCCCACCAACATATACTAGTTTCCTCCTTCTCCTTCCCTTTTCCTGTAATTTCACAATCAAAATGACTGTCTGATTGAGTATCTTTAAAAGGTCGTGATGAATTATTCTGTAATATTTGAAATGTTATGTTCAGAAAGGTCAAACTTTATTTTTCAGTATGAAGTGTCACACGGATTTGTTTTTCCTGGACACTTTTTTTTCAAAGAAAAGATGGCAAGAAATTTAGAGCAGGGTGCCCTCTTGAGGAAATTTTAGCATCTTCCTTCTCAAGAACTGACATCAAATGAAATGAGAAGTCCAGATAAATGATGTACACTATTAATGAAGCTCAGAAAAATGAAACATTAAAAAGTAAGAATAACCAAATACCAGGTATTTGAGAATTAAGATTCTTAACTGTTATGATCTAATATAGCAACTGTAAATAAGAATTTTTATTATTATTTATTTATTTATTTTTAATTCTTTTTTTGAGACAGAGTGTCACTCTGTCACCCAGGCTGGAGTGCAGTGGTGCAATCTCAGCTCACTGGAACCTCCACTTCCTGGGTTCAAGATTCTCATGCCTCACCCTCTCGAGTAGCTGGGACCACAGGCTTGCACCACCACACACAGCTAATTTTTTTTGTATTTTTAGTAGAGACAGGATTTCACCATATTGGCCAGGCTGGTCTGAAACTCCTGTGATCTGCTCGTCTCGGCCACCCAAAGTGCCGGAATTACAGGCATGAGCCACCATGACCAGGCTTGTAAATAAGAATTTTTAAATGAAAACAAAAACCTCTAGAAGATATTTCATTTCTTCTTATTTACTCATTTCTTCAAGTAATATTTATTAGGCACCTATTCTGTGCCAGGAACTATGCTGGGCACAGGGATCAATAAAAGATGATCTCTGCCTTCATGGAGCTTACAGTTTGTGAGGGAGCTCACACAGAAGAGAAACAAACAAATATATATGTAGTTACAAACTGAGAAAAGTACTGTGAAGGAAATGAATAGGTACTAGAATAAAGAATAACAAAGTATTTAGGGTCGTCAAGGGAAGCCTCTCTGAGAGGAAATATCCAGTAGAGTCCGTTGGCTTTTCCACCTATTCTAAGTCTTCCCATCTAATATAGACAGTCTACAGATCCTCTTTCCTAGCCATGGTCTTTCTTATCTTCTCTTATCTCTGCCCCTGTGGTGGACTGAGTCAGTCCCATCTCTGCCCCTGTGGGCAAGCAGTTAGTTCTCAGTAGTCCTTGTGCACCTCACTGTCACTCTAGTAATCTTGCCTTACAGCAGGGATGTCCAATCTTTTGGCTTCCCTGGGCCACACTGGAAGAAGAATTGTCTTTGGCTACACATAAAATACACTAGCACTAACAATAACTGATGAGGGAAAAAAAAAAAAAAACGCAAAAAATCTTATAATGTTTTAAGAAACTTTACGAATTTTTTTGGGCCACATTCAAAGCCATTCTGGGCCGCATGCAACGCGGGTGCCACGGTTTGGACAAGCTTGCTGTAGAGCTGCACATTCTTCACAGTGGGTGGTCTGCTTGATTAAAAAATGTCTTCCAGGCCGGGCGCGGTGGCTCACGCCTGTAATCCCAGCACTTTGGGAGGCTGAGGCGGGCAGATCATGAGGTCAGGAGATCGAGACCATCCTGGCTAACACAGTGAAACCCCGCCTCTACTAAAAAATACAAAAAATTAGCCGGGCATGGTAGCGGGCACCTGTAGTCCCAGCTACTCGGGAGGCTGAGGCAGGAGAATGGCGTGAACCTGGGAGGCTGAGCTTGCAGTAAACCGAGATCACGCCCCTGCCCTCCAGCCTGGGCGACAGAGCGAGACTCCGTCTCAAAAAAAAAAAAAGTCTTCCTTACTGATATTGATAGTCCCTCATAGGAGAACATCAATGCATTATCATGCTAAAAGGGCCCACTTCTAACAAGGTTAAGGATGACAAATGGACAAATAATCCTGCCTGCCATTATCCTCTGAATAGGGAGAGATAAATAGGCACGAAGTAGGCCGAGAACTTGATCAAGCAATACTGTTTGGTCCCACTGCCCTTGAAATATCTGAGGTACCAAGCACATAGAAACCTCCAACTGGAAGTAAAAATGAGGAACTAGACTTGAGAAAAGAGCCCAGAAGAACAATTTTTAGAGTCTTACTTTGTTCAAAGCTCCCATGTTACACAAACTTACTATGTAACGGTTGGCCTGGCTCATTAACACTCTTGCTGTGGCCCTTGTAGCTAAGCTTCTTTCTTTCTTTCTTTCTTTTTTTTTTTTTTTTGAGACGGAGTCCGCTCTGTCACCCAGGCTGGAGTACAGTGGTGCGCTCGACTCACTGCAACCTCTGCCTCCTGGGTTCAAGCAATTCTCTGCCTCAGCCTCTGGAGTAGCTGGGATTACAGGGGCCTGCCACCACTCCTGGCTAATTTTTATATTTTTAGTAGAGACAGGGTTTCACCATGTTGTCCAGGCTAGTCTTGAACTCCTGACCTCGTGATCCACTCACCTCAGCCTCCCAAAGTGCTGGGATTACAGGCATGAGCCACCGCGCCTGGCCTGCTTCTTTCTTGAGGTGGGTTGATTCTACCAGATTGGAGGCTTTAACTGACGTAGAGAGTACTGCCTGCAAGTGGATGGGCCTGCCATGACTTCTGAGTTGGCATTTAGGTGACCATATGAGTCTGGTATCCAAACTTTGAATAAGCTGCTTCTACCTTAGTTGTACCCATAAATAGCTCTCTTTAAGAAAACTAATCATCCTTCCCTTATTAACCAGAGGGCCCTGAACAAAACATTTAACTTCTTTGAATCTCAATTTCCTCACCTGTAAATTGGGATTTAACATCTCTGCTTATTTCACATTGTTATATTTTGAGTATAAATAATAGGTAGTATGTTGGTCAAAATGTGCTGAAACTAATACACCTACACATTGCTGCTGTTAGATAGCAATTTGGAAAATACACCAAATGCTGTAAAATGTGCAAACGTCTTTGACCCAACAATTTGGTTCCTGATAATTTATTCTTGTGAAAAAATTAAGAAAAAAAATATGAAAAAAGATGTACATTGAAGCATTTTCTACAAAATAAAATATTAAAATATTCTAGATGTTAACAATAATAGACTGGTTAAATAAAACATGTTGCTTTTGTTTGCAATAAAATGTTGACCGGCCACTATGTGAATTATATTCATGAAGAAAGTTCTTGGAAGGAAAATGAAAAAAATAAAACAATTGATATCTGAGTATAGTGGAATTACAAGCATTTTTCTTTATCAATTTCTCTGAATGATATTACTCTAGGAGATTAATTAACATACTTAAAACATTTTAAAATCAAAAAAAAAAAATTTTGACCCCATAGTACATTTGTTTCTTATCATATCTTGTTTTTTATTTAGGGAAATTATCGTTTCGTGAAACTCTTACTTACACGCAGAGCAAATTGGATGCAAAAGGATCTGGAAGAGATGACTCCTTTGCACTTGACTACCCGGCACAGGAGCCCTAAGTGTTTGGCACTTCTGCTGAAGTTTATGGCACCAGGAGAAGTGGATACACAGGATAAAAACAAGGTAATGGATACTCAAAATTGAACACTAATAAGACCAGAAAGCAAATGCTTCCTTTTATGATGTGAAATTTCAAGGAAGAAGGCCTAAATTACCACATATATACATGGTAGAACAATTCCAAATCTCCATACATCTCAGGGAAGTGTTTCACTTCAATTCTGTCGTTTAATCCTCTCAGCAACCATGTGTGTTAGGTAGTATCATCTCCTTTTTACAGATGGAAAAACTGAAGCTCAGGAAGATTAAAATTTTTCCCAAGATGTGAGTGGCAGAACTAGACTTCAGATCTAGTCCTGTCAGCCAGGCACATTGGCTCATGCCTGTAATCACAGCACTCTGGGAGGCCAAGGCAAGTGGATCACCTGAGGTCAGGAGTTCAAGACTGGCCTGGCCAACATAGTGAAACCTTGTCTCTACTAAAACTACAAAAATTAGCCGGGCATGGTGGTGTGCACTTGTAATCCCAGCTACTCAGGAAGCTGAGGAATGAGAATCACTTGAACCTGGGAGGCAGAGGTTGCAGTGAGCCCAGATAGCGCCACTGAATTCCAGCCTGGGTGACAGAGTGAGACTCTGTCTCAAGAAAAAAAAAAGTCCAGTCCTGCCTTAACTCCAAAACCCAACATTTGACAGGGAGTCATAATAGTTACTATAAGTGGTTAGACTCATGATGGCCAAATGCCCATGGCAATGTCCTAAGTGCATAATGGTTTAGTGGCCTACACTTTGGTATCAAACTTCCTGGGTTTCAACCCAGAATCCACCACTTAACTTGTTCTGTATCCTTGGGCAAATTGCTTAACTCCTCTGTGCCCCAGTTTTTATATGAATGGAAAAAGGATAATAGGATTACTGTTAGGTTCAGCATAGTATTAAATTTTAGTAAATAGAATCAACAAGTATAACATAGGAAAAGAAAGGAATTACATGTTGTTTATTGAAGATGTGGTTATAGGCAGGTAGTACATGCTATTATACTTGCGGCTTTTTAAAAATCTGCAGTTGTTAGTAAGCAAAAGTAATAGGTTAAATAGTGACTGTTCATATTAAATGCCTATAGGTACATCTTGAAGGAATACCAGGTATGTCAGTTTCTAAAGTTTTTAATGTGACATGTGGGCTTGGTTCCTGCTCATTAAATTATCTAATTGTAGATTGGATTGCTGACAGTGCTACTCATGAGGGCTGATAAAAATTTAAACAGTTCTTACATTTTTTCTTAATAATTCCTCTAATAGGGAAGCCAGTCTTATAGAAGTATGTTGATGAGAACAGCAGAAGAGATTTTAAAGCAACTTCAACAAGTTCAAGATGATCATTTTTAACTTTTATCTGAAATAAAGTGTGAACATTGTCAAAATCAAAATGGAGTTCTTTCTGTTTAAAACAACAACAACAAAACCTGACAGAGCCAGGGAAGGCCATAAAGAGAGGATTCTCGTGCTTGTAAGTCTGATTAAAAAAAAAAAAAAAAAAAAATCACACACTGTGCAAAAACCACAGCCTTGCACAAAGGCCATCATAACCTTACACAAAAATTAATTCTTCAAAGACATTTGCCCAGCAACTGCCCTTCCAACCTTGCACTGGCATTATCTTTGTGATTGATCTTTGTAGCCAAGGATCATCATTTGAAAACAATTATGTAATCCTCCTCCTTTTTCTTTTAAAAACTTTTGTCTTCCTTTACTTGAGTACACAGTTTAACAACGTCCTACTACCAGATACCAAATAAACGTGATTTTCTTTCTTTTTTTTCTTTTTCTATCGCCCAGGCTGGTATGTAGTGTTATGATCTCAGCTTACTGAAACCTCCACCTCCTGGGTTCAAGCGATTCTCATGCTTCAGCCTCCTGAGTAGCTGGAATTATAGGCGTGCACCACCACACCCGACTAATTTTTGTATTTTTAGTAGAGAAGGGGTTTCACCATGTTGACCCGGCTGGTCTCGAACTCCTGACCTCAAGTGATCCACCCGCCTCGATCTCCCAAAGTGCTGAGATTATAGGCATGAGCCACTGCACCTGGCCAAACATTATTTTCTTTTAGAGAGACGTTGTTATTTAGGTTGACAAAAGCAAGTACTGCTGTATTTTCAAAATGTATCTTTTCAGCAATAATTTATCCTCTAAAATTGTAGTTAAATTAAAATGTATCTTCTGATATATGGAATGGGTTCCAGATGCATATGCATGGATTTTTTATAGATATTAAAATTCAAAACATCCTATCAAGTTCTTAAGGTCCTTGGTGATAACCAGATGTACATTATCAAGATCATCACTTACTTTGTTGATGATTATTTCTAAATGACTGGGCCGCTTTCTCTTTCTCTGTGTTATCAGTACCAGATGAACTAAATAACTGTCATGACTAAGAGGTCAGATTCTGGAGTCAGACTGCCAGGGTTAAAATCTCAGTTCAGCCACTTACTTCCTTTATGTCCCTGAGCAGATTACTTAGGTTCCATGTGCTGCTTCCTCATCAATCACATGCAAATTTAAAAACATACTTGTCTCCCAGGAATAGTAAGATGACTGCATGCAATTAAATAGACAATAGTCTCCCTTGTTCAAAGGAAATATATTCCAACACCCCCAATGGATACTTGAAACTGCAGATAGTGTCAAACCCAATTCCTGTCAATAGGAACACATTTCTGTTCATGTCTTCCACCCACAAATTTAGTACTTTTTCCATCTTAACTAAGCACTTATCAGACACTATGGCCATAATTTTTGCAGTTTGGTATGCAACAGCAAAATCATGAATTTCTCCTTCCTTCTTTACAGTTTCACAGATAAATTTGTTCTTACCACAGAGCTTAGCAAACTCAACAAATTTTTCTTATGGAGAGCTTTAACCTTTTCACTTAAAGGAAACACTTTATAGCTGCTCTTTGGCATATCTGAATCACCAGTATCAATAATTGTGAGCTTTGGGGCCATTAAGTAAAAGAAGGATGACTTGAACACAAGCACTGTGAATCTAGTATCGTGACAATGAATGGGATACCTGAGTTGGCTGCTAGGTGACTAACTGGCAGGGAATGTCTACAGTGGGGATGTGCTGAACAAGGAAAGATTTGTGTCCCAGGTAGAATGGGATGGGATGAAGCACTCTTTCATCATGTTATTTAGAATGGCACACAATGTAAAACTTATAAATTGTTTATTTCTGGAATGTTCTATTTAATATTTTTAGACTTTGGTTGAACACAGAGACCTGAAATCATGAAAAGTGAAACCAAAGATACAGGGGAACTACTGTATAAAACTCTTGTAACAGTGCCTGTCCCATAGTAAAAGCTTGGGGAAAGTTAGTTGTTGTTACTGTTGTTATTCTGAGAACCTCTCGATTTTGCAGCAAACAGCTCTGCATTGGAGTGCCTACTACAATAACCCTGAGCACGTGAAACTGCTCATCAAGCATGATTCTAACATTGGAATTCCTGATGTTGAAGGCAAGATCCCACTTCACTGGGCAGCCAACCATAAAGATCCAAGTGCTGTTCACACAGTGAGATGCATTCTGGTGAGTTGAATGGTACTGCTAGACCTGAATGGCCTTTTTAAGAAAAATTTTTATTATGAATTATTCAATATATACAAAAGCATGTATTTGACATACAAGTAAATTATTAAGCAAAAGAATACAACAGACATATGGACCCATCCCCCAAGAAGTAGAACATTTCAGTACCACTATTTAAGACCACATAGAGGTTTCCTATGTCCCACTTTTTAAATGCATTCATTCCACCTATGCCATGCTCATTCCTGTACCCCAGCAACTACTTCCCTGAATTTATAGTTATTTCCTTACTTCGTTTCATACTGTTTTTATTAAACGGTGAATAGATATAAGTATCAGCAAAATACATGTAAAATATAAATAATAATGAAACAACAAATACTTATGTACTCACTATCAAGTTTAAGAAAAAGTATATTACCAGGCTGGGTGTGGTGGCTCATGCCTGTAATCCTAGCACTTTGGGAGGCCGAGGCAGGTGGATCACAAGGTCAGGAGATTGAGACCATCCTGGCTAACACGGTGAAACCCCGTCTCTACTAAAAATACAAAAAATTAGCCGGGCGTGGTGGCGGGCGCCTGTAGTCCCAGCTACTCGGGAGGCTGAGGCAGGAGAATGGCGTGAACCCGGGAGGTGGAGCTTGCAGTGAGCCAAGATCGTGCCACTGCACTCCAGCCTAGGCGACAGAGCAAGACTCCATCTCAAAAAAAAAAAAAAAAAAAAAAAAAAAAAAAAAAAAAAGAAAAAGTATATTACCATTACCTTTTAGGTCCTCTGAGTGGAGTACCTCTCAGTCTCATTCTACTCTCTCCTTTCACAGAGGCAACAACTGTCTTCAGTCTTGTGTTTATCATTCCCCTGATTTCCATTACCACGTTTATTTGTATCCTTAAACAATATATTGCTCAGTTTTTAACGTTTTTGAATTTGATATACAAGGAATTATGTTGCATGTTTTTGTTTTTGTTTTGTTTTGTTTTTTGCAATACCCTTTTGTCGCTCAACCTTATGCTGGTGAATTTTTTTTTTTTTTTTTTTTTTTTTGAGACGGAGTCTTGCTCTGTCACCCAGGCTGGAGTACAATGGCATGATCTTGGCTCACTGCAGCCTCTGTCTCCCAGGTTTAAGCAATTCTCCTGCCTCAACATCCTAGGTAGCTGGGACTGCAGGCGTGCGCCACCATGCCTGGCTCATTTCTGTATTTTTAGTAGAGATGGGGTTTCACCATGTTGGCAAGGATGGTCTCGACCTCCTGACCTTGTGATCCACCTGCCTCGGCCTCCCAAAGTGTTGGGATTACAGGCGTGAGCCACCGTGCCTGACCACTGATGATTTTATCTATGTTGCTGCATGTAAAAGTGATATTTTAATTTTTACTGCTATATAGGATTCCATCTTATGAATAAGCCACACAATATTCATTCTGTTATTGACAGATACTTTGTTTCCAGTTTTTTGTTATTTACAAACAGTGCTGCACTGACATTTTTGAACATATCTAGGATATATATTTAACTGGTTGTTATAGGTGTATAGGAATGCAGTTGATATTTTTTATCATTGATTATGTATCTAACTAATTCGCTAAACTCCTTATTTATTTTGAATATTTATCAGTTGATTCTTTGAGATTTTCTACTTCTTCTGTCTCAGCTTCTAAGTTACATGTTTTTGTAGTCCAATAGTTAGTCATATTTGTTTTTAACACACAAACTATACTTTAAAGTATTTTTTAATCGTTTTTTACAACCTCTGATGCTAAAAGTATTATTATTTTGTATATGCAATGCTTAACTCTGCATTTTTTTGTGTCTGAAATTTTCCTTCTAAAGCTATTATTTTACATCCTGAAATATAGTTCTTAGATTCTTTTTTAAAATTATTCTATAAGTTCTGGGATACAGGTACAAAACATTCAGGTTGGTTACATAGGTATACATATACCATGGTGGTTCGCTGCACCCATCAACCTGTCATTTACATTAGATATTTCTCCTAATGCTATCCCTCCCCTTGTCCCCCACCCCCCAACAGACCCAGTGTGTGATGTTCCCCTCCCTGTGTCCATGTGTTCTCATTGTTTAACTCCCACTTATGAGTGAGAACATGCAGTGTTTGGTTTTCTGTTCTTGTGTTAGTTTGCTGAGAATGATGGTTTCCAGCTTCATCCATGAGTTCTGCAAAGAACATGAACTCCTTCTTTTTTATGGCTGCATAGTATTCGATGGTATATATGTGCCACATTTTCTTTATCCAGTCTATCATTGATGGGCATTTGGGTTGGTTCCATGACTTCGTTATTGTAAATAATACTGCAATAGACATATGTGTGTTTGTGTCTTTATAGTAGAATGATTTATAATCCTTTGGGTATATACCCAGTAATAGGATTCCTGGGTCAAATGGTATTTCTCGTTCTAGATCCTTGAGGAATCGCCACACTGTCTTCCACAATGGTTGAACTAATTTACACTCCACCAACAGTATGAAAGCATTCCTATTTCTCCACATCCTCTCCAGCATCTGTTGTTTCCTGACTTTTTAATGATTGCCATTCTAACTGGCATGAGATGGTATCTCATTGTGGTTTTGATTTGCATTTCTCTAATGATCGGTGATGATGAGCTTTTGTTCATATGTTTATTGGCTGCATAAATGTCTTCTTTTGAGAAGTACCTGTTCATATCCTTTGCCCACTTTTTGATGGAGTTGTTTTTTCTCTTGTAAATTTGTTTAAGTACCTTGTACATTCTGGATGTTAGTCCTTTATCAGATGGATAGGTTGCAAAAAATATTCTCCCATTCTGTAGGTTGCGTGTTCTGTCTATAGTTCCTGTAGGTCCCATTCTGTCTGTCTGTAGGTCCCTGTAGGTCCCATGTCTATAGGGACCTGTAAGTCCCATTCTGTAGGTTGCCTCTTCTATCACTCTGATGATAGTTTCTTTTGCTGTGCAGAAGCTCTTTAGTTGAATTAGATCCCATTTGCCAATTTTGGCTTTTGTTACCATTGCTTTTGGTGTTTTAGTCATGAAGTCTTTGCCCATGCCTATGTCCTGAATGGTATTGCCTAGGTTTTCTTCTAGTGTTTTTATGGTTTTAGGTCTTATGTTTAAGTTTTTAATCCATCTTGAGTTAATTTTTGTATAAGATATAAGGAAGGGGTCCCGTTTCAGTTTTCCAAACACCATTTATGAAATAGGGAATCCTTTCCCCATTGCTTGTTTTTCAAGTTTGTCAAAGATCAAATGGTTGTAGATGTGTGGCATTATTTCTGAGGCCTCTGTTCTGTTCCATTGGTCTATATATCTGTTTTGGTACAAGTACCATGCTGTTTTGGTTACTGTAGCCTTGTATTATAGTTTGAAGTCAGGTAGCATGATGCCTCCACCTTTGTTCTTTTTGCTTAGGATTGTCTTGGCTATACGGTCTCTTTTTTGGTTACATACGAAATTTAAAATAGTTTTTTTCTAATTCTGTGAAGAAAGTCAATGGTAGCTTGATGGAAATAGCATTGAATCTATATATTACTTTGGGCCGTATGGCCATTTTCACAATATTGATTCTTCCTGTCCATGAGCGTGGAATGTTTTTCCGTTTGTTTGTGTCCTCTCTTATTTCTTTGAGCAGTAGTTTGTAGTTCTCCTTCAGGGAACTACAACATGAAGAAGTCCTTTACATCCCTTGTAAGTTGTATTCCTAGATATTTTATTTCTCTTTGTGGCAATTGTGAATGGGAGTTCACTCATGATTTGCTCTCTGTCTGCTATTGGTGTATAGGAATGCTTGTGATGTTTGCACATTGATTTTGTATCCTGAGACTTTACTCAAGCTGCTTATCAGCTTAAGGAGTTTCTGGGCTGAGATGATGGGGTTATTTAAATATACAATCATGTCATCTACAAACAGAGACAATTTGACTTTCTCTCTTCCTATTCGAATAACCTTTATTTCTCTTACCTGATTGCCCTGGCCAGAACTTCCAATACTATATTGAATAGGAGTGGTGAGAGAGGGTATCCTTGTCATGTGCCAGTTTTAAAAGGGAATGCTTCCAGCTTTTGCCCATTCATTATGATATTGGCTGTGGATTTGTCATGAATAGCTCTTATTATTTTTAGATATGTTCCTTCAATACCTATTTTATTGAGTGGTTTTAGCATGAAGGGGTGTTGAATGTTATCGAAGGCCTTTTCTGCATCTATTGAGATAATGTGGTTTTTGTCATGGGTTCTGTTTATGTGATGGATTACATTTATTGATTTGCATATGTTGAACCAGCCTTGTATCCCAGGGATGAAGCCAACTTGATCGTGGTAGATAAGCTTTTTGATATGCTGCTGGTTTCGGTTTACCAGTATTTTATTGAGGATTTTTGCATTGACGTTCACAAGGGATATTGGCCTGAAATTTCCTTTTTTTCTTGTGTATCTGCCGGTTTTGGTTTCAGGATGATGCTGTCCTCATAAAATGAGTTAGGGAGGAGTCCCTCTTTTTCTATTGATTGGAATAGTTTCAGAAGGAATGGTACCAGCTCCTCTTTGTACCTCTGGTAAAATTCAGCTGTGAATCTGTCTGGTCCTGGACTTTTATTGGTTGGTAGGCTATTAATTACTGCCTCAATTTCAGAACCTGTTATTGGTCTATTCAGGGATTCAACTTCTTCCTGGTTTAGTCTTGGGAGAGTGTATGTGTCCAGGAATTTATCCATTTCTTCAAGATTTTCCAGTTTATTTGTGTGGAAGTGTTTATAGTATTCTCTGATGGTAGTTTGTATTTCTGTGGGGTCAGTGATGATATCCCCTATACCATTTTTTATTGTGTCTATTTAATTCTCTTTTCTTCTTTATTAGTGGTCTATTTTGTTAGTCTTTTCAAAAAACCAGCTCCTGAATTCATTGATTTTTTGAAGGGTTTTTCGTGTTTCTATCTCCTTCAGTACTGCTCTGATCTTAGTTAGCTCTTGGTTTTTGTTAGATTTTGAATGTGTTTGCTCTTGTTT